ACATATATATGTATATTTGTTAGATTTGCTGAAATGTACGAACCATTTCAGAAACCTAACAAAAGCTGATTTTGTTTTGGTCTGAACTTGAAATCCAAATCCTAACCTAGTGTAAATGAAAAGTGTTTTTACAGCACCTTGGCAAATGTGGTGATAAGAAGAATGTTGACCTTCAAGTAGAAACTTCAAATGGTTGAATAAGAACCAGAGCCACCAAACAATATGTAGAGTCCTTCAGTGTGAATCTCTTAGAAAATGCATATAATCATATCATTATGCTGGGAAAATGTAAAACATCAAAAAGTAGGGTTTAAAGGACTAATTAAGCTTTTAAAGAAAAGAGTGCAGTGTCAGTAAAGGAGATTCAGATGTTGATGTTGCTTGGCTTTGACTGGCAAAATCTATCTTGAAACAGAACAAAGTACAATAAAAATCAGATAATGAAGCCATTGTGGCACGAAACTTACTGCCTGATGTCAGGACGCTCTGCAGGTCACTGTCCCTCGAGTAGGATAAAGATCAAAAACAAACAGAGGATAAGAAAACATTTATCCCTTATGAAGTGGTCTGATGTGAACCTTGATGTCAACTTAAACTCATAGTTGGGAAAAAAAATTCTTATAACGAAAAAGGAAAAGTAGCAGAAAGCCAAACTGCAAAGCTATAGTATAAAATAAAGGCTTAGCATTCCTTGAAGGAATGCATATTGGCTCATTTTTAGAAATGTATCAAATGCATGTTTTTGTTGAACCTTGAAAAGAAAAAATGTTTTTATTTACCATGCGAATCCCATTGAGATCACTGATCTGTTCTGCAAGGGGAGCCTGAAGGCAGCCTAACATGCATGTTTTACATCTGTGGGAGGAAACCAGAGTACTCGGAGATCCCCACACATGCATGAGGGGAACAAGCAACTCCACACAGAAAGACCACAGGTTCATACTGGGGCTTGGACTCAGGACCTAACCACTAAGCCTTTGCTTGCTTTTTAAACTAACCAAAACCAAAGGGCTGGCGAGGCTACACATATTACAAACCAAGAACAAAGACTTGCAGAGATTCAGGGAAAAGCCTCAAGAAGGACTTAAGATGGCACAGAACCTGTGTAATGCTGAACTGGTGAGCGGTGAGACAAAGACTGAGGCTGCGTCTCAATTCTGGGGCTGCAGCCGATGTAGGGCGCATTTGTCAGCTCTTTACGTCACTGTATAGGCTGTCCCAAGTCGTAGGCACCTACTCATCCGGCAAACAAACGTAGGCTGCATCTGTGACTGATGATATCTCAGGTTTCATTGCGCCGTCAGCGAACTAAACAGAAAAGTGAAGATGGCTGAGATTGGTTTTATTTCACAGCAGAGTTTAGCACTAAATTTTTTTCTGCAATGAGATGTTAAATAAAATGCAGTTCAAATTACTGATACTGAAGCTAAACCCAAAGAGCCTTGCCCTTGCCTTCCTACGCAGCTCCGCTCAATTCTAGTTTCCCTTCACTGCTCCGTTTGGGACTTCTCCCATTGAGATGGATTTCACTGGCAGATTTTTAGCCAGGCCAATCAGAGAAGAGAACGTCAGTTTTCTGCGCAATGTCTCTTGTGAATTTTACCTGGGCCAATCAGCAAACAGAAGGCGGAGTTTTGAACAACGTCGATTTTTTGCGCAGTGTCTGCTAGTTATTTTAGCATACGGCAGAGGAGGAAGTGAATGAAGCCACTGTGTTGATAAGGCTTCCAGATTAAATTAAATTTGTCTGACAAAGCAGCAGCTCTCATTTACAGTCATCTCGTTCAGCTCGGTATATTTCTCCTCTCAGTAGGGTTGTTTACAGCACACGCGATTTCCGGTTAGCTTTTTAGCTTAGCCTCCTTCCCAGCGACAACACACACATGCTTCAGCAGAGGCCACGCCTCCTGCAAGAAATCAATTCTCTATGCATCAAGTCCAGACCCTTGTACGAACCAAAGTGAAGGGCGGGGTCTGGTTTTAACCAGGCTAAAACCAAGATGATTTTTTTTATATGTAGCAATTTTCTAATACTTAATTTTGTGAATTCATACCATATAAAACTATCCCCTCAGTACCCCATGGATTATGCACTACCACCTCTCTCTCCCTGTTTAAGACTGGCCTAAAGACACAGCTTTTCAAATTAGCCTATAACTGTTAACTCTGATTTTCAGTATATGTCTGTTTTTGTTGTCCTCACTTCGATGTTTTTTTCCCCACAACCCTTTTGTTCAATTTGTCTGCATTATTGTATTTTATTGTATGACTGTTCTGTACTACACATTTCTGTTTCTCCCACACTACCCTTATCATTATATGTATCTACAGTTTTGTTTTGTTTTTTCATTTTACTTTTTTCTATTGTACAGCGTCCTTGGGTGTCCTGAAAGGCATTTTATAAATAAAATGCATTATTATTATTAAAAACAACTAAATGTGTGTGATATAAAACATATGGTAATTTGGCAGCATGTGGTCATGTAAACATATGGTTTCTGTAAACTAGACAGTCTCATTTCAAAGCATTTTATGCAACTGACACGAGTAGGCCTATGGTCCGTGTAAAGTGTGGCCAGCGTGGGCCACGGTACACATGGGCTGCTAACTTGAGACACAGCCTGAATATAAAAGGACAGAGGTGATTGGTAAAGTGGAGACACCTGGGTTGATTGGTGAGAGGCAGCCTGAGTGGAAAACACTGAGGAGGTTGACTGAGGGGAAAGAGAAATGGTAAATGGTAAATGGACTGTATTTATATAGCGCCTTTCTATCCATCCAGGACACTCAAAGCGCTTCACACCACAGACATTCACCCATGCACACACACAGTCACACACTGATGATGGAAAACTACAACTGTAGCCACAGCTGCCCTGGGGCGCACTGACAGAGGCGAGACTGCCATACACAGGCGCCACCGGACCCTCTGACCACCATCAGAAAGATGGAACAGGGAACACAACACGTTGCAAATGAAGAACAAGAACATTTTTATATCTTACCCATTGTATACTAAAGTGATAATAGGGTTTAAACAGTATTATCGACTGTCAAAAGTAATTTAGAAAAGCTGTAAAATGGTACAGCTTCCCTTTGTTAAAGTAGAATACTTACATTATTAATTACAGATTATTATTATCATTCATGTGATACTTTTAGAAGCATTTTATAAATGTATTCTAACATATAACATTCCAAAAAGCAGGGATTCAGCTGCAGAGGCTGAGGTCCTCTTCAACCACACTCATGTTAATGAGAAGACATTAATCTTGTAGCTTCAGCACAGGCAGCGTCTCATACAACACTATTCACTGAGATGACCTGATTGTCTCTAAAAATCTTCCCCTCGACTAACACTGTTGTGTAGTCTTGAAAGAGACTATAGATTACAAAACTGAGCCATTCTTTGCTTGTATAACGTCAAACTTCACTGGCAAAGAAAATAAATCATCTGACCTGCTTATTTTTCATTTCAATTAACTTTCTATATTTTTTTTTCCCTCCTAGCACCAGCCCTGCTCATAAGTACTATCTGGCCATGGACCCCGTGGGCGAGGTCCTCTACGTGTCCGACACCAGCAGCCGCAGAGTTTACAGAGTCCGAAACCTCGTTCAGCCCAAAGATCCAGCGCGCAACCTTGAGGTAGTGGCCGGAACGGGAGAGCAGTGTCTACCTTTCGACCAGAGCCACTGTGGAGAGGGCAGAAAGGCCACTGAAGCTGCACTCAATAACCCTCGAGGTAAGGATAATGCTCTCAGTGCAGCCGAAGGAGCTCTGTCTCTCGGCCTGGACAGGCTTTGCTGTTGCCATGAGCACGAGCTACATTTATTGTCCCTTCAGGCTGGACTTACAAATTTGTGATCAGCAGTCAAAAGATCAGCATGTGGTGAAAGTAGGTACACTTAGCTGGGAGGCAGAATGCCGGCTCATTCCGGGAAGGTCAGGATAGAAGTCCTGAAACAGCAACAATTTGAGTCATCTACGTGGATTTCAGCCCCCCTAACCTTTTCATTTTTTTTGRCTATTTGTAGTCGACCGAGCACTCWGAATCTGCTGTGATGAGTTTTTAGAAAAGGATGATCATAACCCTGGAGTTATCTGTGACACGATGTTTGCTTTGAGCCTTTTTCTCTTTGAAGGTTTGCTATTTGAAAAGTGATCTACGTAAGCAAGCGGGCTGATATGGTGTGCTATCAGATGACAGTAATGTGTGTTTTCTGAGAATGGTTTTGCACATTTTATTGTTGTCTTTGTGTATTCCAAAAAATCATGACAAAATGTGCAATGTTGGCGAGATATCAGTATCATAAATCCGTCCTGCATCCTGTCTTCTTGTGGGTTATTGTCGATTTATGTAGCCAAGAATGTGTCRGATATTTACCCTTTTTTTAGGAGTTTTGAATAGAGCTCTTGCGTTACTGTCAATAAAAGGTTTCCTCAATATGCTATAGCTTTAAATTTGTACGMAAAARMAAAAAAAAAAAAAAAAAAAAGTAGCTGCCTGACTGTCAGATATTTTTCAGCTCTGCATTTCTAATTTAGAGGCATCATGTGGATCCCACTGCATCTATCAAAATGTGACAAATAAGCTACAAGAAGCCAAGACTCTTAAAGAAACGATACTGTCTGTTTGGACTTGCTTGATTTCTTCATTTGCTTGGAAAAAAAGATTCCAGCTCTGTTGGCCCCCTTCAACCCGCTTCTCTGCAAAATTCAGAGATTTCTGACAGTGATCACTTTGTTCTTGTAGGTCAGCTGCTATGTGTTCCTTCAATTTTTGCCACTCACAGACACGCATGCTGACTGTATCACCTCATTAATACTGCTGGCTTGACATGTCGACTCTCTCTTCAACACATTGCAGCTCTGCAGCCAGCTAACCAGCAACAGCGACGTCCCACCTTTTCTGTGTTTTATACTAAACATTGTGGCACAATAGAAGAGCAAGACAGATGGAGTTAAACAAAAGGAATATTGTTTATTACACAWATTCTCTTCSTTTTGATTTAYGTGCAAATGATTATTGAACAAACACAATGAAGCAATGCTCTGCTTTATCATACAAAAAGATAATTACTGTATAGTGTAAGTCCTATACAAATAAATGCTTTCTCTGTTTTTTACGTTGACTGTTCAGATCTAACTGTTTACATGGGGAGTAATATTTTCCAAATGCTAACTGCTCAGCTGGTGTCACAGTTCAGAGTAGTCGTGCAGTTATATTTTCACTAATTCTAAATTTGTTAATAACACAAAGCTTTGTTTCTTTTAAATTTGTAAAATAGCACTTACACTGCAAGGACTCACATTTTGAGCTGTCCTGGTGCATTAAAATAATGTTTAATTGGTTCAAGGATCCCACTGAGCACTGCCACAAAAACACCCCATCACGTTCCCAGCTATCAAGGAGAGATTGATGGATCCATGCTGCTTGTGCCTTTTATTCACCCTTCCATCAGCRTTTTTCAAACACAAATTGATTTAACTAGGCAACAATGTTTTTTTCTACGCACTCTTTGTTCATCCAGTTTCAGTGATTATTACTGATTGTCAAAGTTACCTTTACATGTAATTGCTTAATTTGCATTCCTGTGATTGATGCCAAAAATAACATTTGGAAAGTATTGTTTTTGCACAAAAAAAGGAGATTATCTGCCAAAGTATTGTGAGACCTTTGCCACGGTAGACGCTTCGCCATGTCACAGTAGGAAAAGCACAGSTGTGAATAATAATAACACTAATAATGATGGCTGCAATCCATTCAGGTGCTCCAGTTTGGGTTCTTTGGTATTATTCATGCTGGCTCACTGTCAGTCCAAACACTTCACTGGAATAAGGCCATCATGAATGTTGGTTGCACCTGTGTTTTTCTTTCAGAAACAACTCCCAGTGTCACAGTAAAAATAAACCTGTTGTGCTGCCCATGCAGGCCTGAAAAAGGACCAATGTTGTTCTGCATTTTATTCGCATGTCCACAAATTACATATTGATTTATGGAAAAATATGTCAAGAGAACACTGTTTAAAGTATCACTTTTTATAGTCCTACCTCAAAGCAGAACACTGCCTTATTCATCCATCAGTCAGGTCATTTATTCAACCATCCTTTCATCAACACATCCATCCATCAACAYATCCATACATACAGTCATCCATTTAACTGTACTGTGGATGCAACGGCTCCACAAAAAAAACCTGTCGAGTGTCCATCTACACTTAAAAATTGGGGGAAAAAACAGGTTTTGGGTTTGCTCCAAAGGGATGAAATCAGATGTTTGAACCACCTCAGCTGACTCTTTTTGAAGTAAAAGAGCAGAAGATCTACAGTGGTTGCTTACTGGTTGATAGACCTGCTCACTCTTTCTATGCGGAAGAGCATCAATTCAGCTTCTTGTGTCCATGAGTTTGTTCTTTCAGTCAGGATCCAAATCCTATAAAAGCTGATATGTAAATGAACCTATAAATTAGGAGCCTTGATGCTATAGAATTGCCACCTTTATGTAATTAATGAGKTTTTGTACCCTCATGGTACTGGTGGATGTGTTGTCTGGGGTGAAAACCCCTGCATAGGTCTCACGTGAAAAATTGGTTTCAAGGAAATGGGTCAGACTAAAGAGGGTTTAATAACCTAAACAACACAAGTTACTATGTTTGGAATAGAGAGAGCAGGACATTTTTAGATGCCAGAGGGTGATTGCTGTTGAGCACTTGTTGGGTGAGCCTTGTCTACTGGGGTGTGATCAGCCAAGTCTAAGTAGCAACAAGTCACTACTTCCATGTGGACTCACTACCTGTGGGGAGAGAAGCTGAGATTGGGTACATGTGAGCTGGGTGGCAGATGAGGGTGTTGGCCCAAGCACATTTAGTTACATAGAATGTCACCATCCATCCAAGAAAGGAGTTGGAAATGGTGAGTGAAACTAAACGTTAGCAAGATATGTGGGCCTCTTTCCACATACATTTTGGATGCTGGTACCCAAATTTTAGGGTGGGCCTGGATTCTCTCTCACTGTGGAAATGCCCATGGGAGAAAGATCGTAGAGTGGGTGTGGAKATACTAGCAAGCATCCAGCTGAGTGCCTCAGGGTGGGATTTTGCCCYGGTGAGCAAGAGGTCGCCTCTCTCTTGCTTTGAGTTCATGATGGCATTCAAGTTTAAAATAGAAAGTTTTGGATCTTACTTGAGCAGACCCATATGATTGTGGATTGTGACATAGATAAATAATTATATATTTTATTATATACTGTTCATAGGTCAATCCTAAGATCTTGATCCTAAAATTGCTGCTGACATACTGTATTGCTTGTTTCTAAATGTGATCATTATAAAATCAAACTTATCGATATACAACATACAACAAAAAGTAAAGTGCAAGGTGTTGAAGGGCGTAATTTGATTTGTACCATTAAGCCTCTTGATTGATTAGTAAGGCTGCATCAACCATCTTTCTTCTGTAAAATGTCTAGTAAATTGTACAAAAAGCACCCTTAATTATCAGTTTCTTAAAAGCCTAGACCTAAAGTCATTGCTTTGGTTAAATGACCCCATAACTGACATAATTTCCTTTCCCACAGCAGTTCATGACACTTCGTCATCACAAAAACTAACCAGTCACAGCATTTTACAGTCTAGATAATATTTCTTCTTTAATTTGAAGAAATCATCTGTAAAATTAGTAAAAACCATCCACAAGAGCATGTTTTTAGCATGTTCTTATAACAAGAAAAATTCAGTTTTCATATGACTCTGACAACTATGGTTAGACAAATAGCATAACGTCCTTTGCCTTACAGCYGAAAAGAACACTCTTAAACGCTAAACTTAAACCTTATAAAATACTTGTCATATTACAGTTTTCCAATGCTGATAATCCTGCAGATTCATCTTTGATTCTTTCCACTCAACGCATTATCCCTGCTCTTTAAATTAAGGCACATATTTCAGACATTAAGCCTGGAGTGTCAATGTGATTTGGTTAATCGTTCCAGCCTTTCTTATGAGCTGACAGAAGTCGATTGTAACACTCTGTTCTTACCGTTATTATATTACATCTCTGTTTGACTTGTCCTGCTCTGTTAGCTGGAACAAGTGTAGGGATCAGAGTCCCAATAATATGGCATACCATCGTTTGACTTTGTTATATTGTGTGTACCAGACAAATAGAAAAGGCCAGGCATCTAAACGTTTCAGATTATCATACGCAGGAAACTAATAATGCTCTTGTCATGGGGATAAAGGAAACTCACAGCTTCTAATATACAGAATTAGTCTTTCTCAAGTCCCTGTTTCCTTACTTTGAATATCACCTATGTCAAATTAATTGTTGCTTTATAGCATTCAAACCCTACAATTGGAGGTTGGTGAAGTAACAAATACATACTTCAAGCCTCATATTCTAATTAAAAWTTTTWAAACTCCCCTTGATACCGGATAAAGACCTGACTCCATTGTAATCCATATCCATGTATCCATAATCAGCCAGTTAATGGACAGCCTTTGCATGGCCTTGACAAGGTCTCTTCAGCATGCATTAAGAACACAGTGGGCTTCTCATGACACAGGCTAGATCATGGTAGGTTATAAGAGCCACAGAGGGCTTTGATCCACAACCTCTGAATCATATCAGGCTTCTGAATAGAGCATAGGATAGCATAGTGGCAATGGTGGCAATGTACCAATGACCTGGGTCTTGGTCATTGATCATTTGAAGCAGGACTGGCCATGCCTCATGCCTAAACTG